TAAATATTGTTTGGCGCAAAAAACGGTGGGTGGTTTTTTTTTGGGGGGTTGGGGCCCCCCCCCCCCCCCCTGGCTCTCGTAGGTTTCATGCTACGGCGACCCCCTCCTGTCCTCGGTTGGCATATTACATTACGCAGCACAGCAAACCACATACCATGCTCCAACATCTGCGTTACCTGACTCTGGCAACGGCTGCAGTGCTTCCCTCGTGCTCCTCGGCCTTCGCGTCTTCTGTAGGTGTGTCTTAAATCTTGCTTCATGGAGCTCAGGTAGCTGTCAAGTGGATTAAAAAACATGCATGACATGCAAGTGCTTTCTTCCACGCTGAGATGGTGAAAGTGGGTGTTTACATGTTCAGACCTCTCCCCCCACTTCACAGCTCCCTAGACAAGCTGTGTTCGCGTCTGGGCACGGCCTGCTGCGCTGTCAAACAACGTGGGTGTGCGGAAGCTCGTTCAGCGACTGGTGCACAATTTTGATACGTTTTCTCTACATAATTCTGTTCCTCTAGACCGTGGTGAGTCATGCTCCAGGATCTACAGCAGTAGGTACCGCCGCAGTCAAGCCCTCGTGCTTCCCTTCCCTTCTCTCGCTAGGGCAGCACTGCTTCTCGCAAGGCAAGGGTTTAAACTTTGGTAACCGCCCTACACCACAGTGAATGTGCGGCTCTCCACCGTCGCCACATAGGTTTTGCGGCCCCGGTGATGCCCTGCAGCTACGGGTAAAGTGCAACTTCCACGCTACCCCCCGTATTGCAACATCTCCCGCTCTACTTTGAGCTTCGACTTTTTGGTTGAATCAGTAAAATCGCGGGCTACGGATACAACGGGTTGGACCAGTACGGACTTGGAAGGTACAGAGCGGAGACCGGAACGGTTTTTAACGTGTGAAGACAACAACAACAACAACAACAACAACAACAACAACAACAACAACAACAACAACAACAAACGATTTCAAATTCGGCACGAAAACGAATGGAGGCGTCTGCCCTCACAATATGTTGAGATTTGCATACTGCTGTTCATTGTCTTTCTCCCTACCAACAATACTGTACGAGAGACCACCGGGGAGAGAGAGATGTCTGAGAGATGCCTGGAACGACGGCCAACCCGACACCCCCGACACCACGGGCGTCGGTGTCGGGGGTGTCGGGTTGGCCCTCGTTCCAGGCATCTCTCAAATTTCTAATTTCTTTCTCTCCCCGGTGTTCTTTCGTATTCACGGTAGGAAGAAAGACAAATATAATCGGCTGTATGCAAATCTCAACATATTATAAAGGCAGACGCCTCCATTCCTTTTCGTTCCGAATTTGAAATCGTTTGTAGCCCCGATTTTTGTCCCTTCAGCGCACTTGAGGGCGGCCGACTTGTCTGCCCAGTTTTCCATGACTCGTTCAGAGTGGGGGGGTCTTTGAGCTGGTCCATGGGCGGCTCCGCCGTAGAGGAGATCATGGAGATGGGGGTTAGAGAACAGAGTCGATGGCGAAGTACTACGTGGAGCCTTCTTCCCAGCGGCAGCGGGCGGCCAACTGTATGGCCACCAACGAGGAGTCATTGTCGCCGGCATTCGAAGCCGACTTTGCAGCCTGTGCTTGCCGTAAGCCGACTTAACACTATTGCAGAATACATGAAAGTATGGGTGACTCAACCAGGCTCCAGGTCAGTGGGCAAGGAGAAGACACGACAAGGAAAGTATGGGTGGGACCACAGGCCGGAGCTTGGTGGGACCACAGGCCGGAGCTGGAGGCTTCATCCCAAAATCCAATTCTTACATTAAATGACATAGGCAGCAACAATACAACCGCAAATGACCTTGTGGCTACTCCCGTAGGTTACATGAATTTTTAACCCCCCTGGACCGATTTTCAAAGCTCGATTAGTCCGTAGAAAGAGCAGTACGGTGCCGAAAATGGCGGCGGTGCGACCGTCTCGTGGAGAGCTTTCCGAAAGCGTTTTATTTGAGTCTGGCATACTCTTCCTCGTGGGGTAATCGCGCTTTGAAAAATCGATCCTGCGGGTGTGGTATCTTGCGCAACCTACGGTACAACTGCAGCAGCAGTGGTTAGATAGCAGCTTCTCCGTTACCCCTCCCAACTCGGGGTCTAGACCCCGCCTCCCTTCCAGATGCCAAGGCCACTCGCCTTGCTGTCAGGGTCACAATCCGCGAATACTGAGCAGGCGGGGACAGACTGATGCAGGGAAGAGGAGCGGTTCTCCGCTACAAACGAGATGACATGTTAACAATGCTGCAGCAACCTACAGACCAAGCAGAACAAGAGAAGCACAACCGAAAAACGCTCCCCCGAGTTTGCTTTTCTGGTTGGCTGCACGATCCCTTCTGCACTCTGCTTTTCCTGCCGTGCGATGTTATAAACTCACCCGGCCGACGATTCGATTCGACGCGGGCCACCGACAGGCGCGCCTTCTTTCGTCCGGCACGCTCGCCACTCCGGCCTCTCGCCGCGCAACCTGGGTCACGGCCTCGGCTTCCTGGCGCTAGGCGGGGGCAGAGCCATCAGCAGCAGGGGCGGAGGGAGCGGAAGCGGAAGCGGCAGCACGACGGCGGCGGTGATGGGTCTCGAGGTGAGTGTGAGTCCAAAGCGCGGCGCCGTTGCACCTTTGCGGCGGTCCTCTGCGCGCAGCCGTCGTCGACCAGGAGCCTAACAACAGCACGGGCAGATTGGAGACGCTCGTCGCCCGAGCAGTAGTCGGCAAACCGCGAACGCGATCCCCCATGTCTGTTGGGCGCCCAATAGCCACCGCAGAGCTTTTATTCTTGGCAGCCTACGGCAACAGTCTTGGTGTGAACCGTGCCGTCATCGCTACAAGCAGCACATCCCGGCTGTGTCCTGGTAGGTTCGCTCGGGGGTGCGGGAGCCCCGGCGGCAGTGGGTGTAGTACCACGTGGATCGTTTCCCGATGTCTGCGCCCTCGTTCTACGGCATCTCACCTGCTTCTTCTCTGAGGGTAGGGAAGAAATGAGCTGCCAGCGTGTTAGAGGGCTTGGATTATTTTGTTTGTGTTGGGTGGTGCAGAGTCCAACCGTCACCAATCCTTCACCTTACTGTTTGAGGGATTTCACTTTCCTACACCGGTACAATACCAGTCTAGGGCGGTATAACGTCCAACCGTCACGAGCACTTCACCATATAACGAGCATGCGCCACCACTGACTTGGCAGATCACGGCTGCTTCTGCCGGCGACCAGACCCACCCCATTTTTGTTCGGTCTCTCTCTCTCTCTCTGTGTCTTTTTTTTATTTTCATAGACTGCGGTAACCCGCTGGACAATGAAAAGACGCCAGTCTTTTAGCGGGATAATTTAGAACACGCGAACACGTATTCAAATGAAATGAAAGGGTTCTACCGACAACGGGGGGCGGGGAGTTTTTACGCCAATGTGAAGTTCGAAGAAAATACTCAATGTGTGTATCTGTGTGTATTTTTGTTACAATTATCGACCGCGCTTACCGGTCTCTCTCTCTCTCTCTCTCTCTCTCTCTCTCTCTCTCCGTGTGTTTTTATTATTATTAGCATCGACCGCAGTAACCGGCTGACCAATGAAAAGACGTCAGTCTCAGTGTGGTTGACAACACGAAACACTTGTAAATACCATAAGCTGGTGTGTGTGTGTGTGTGTTTTCGTGGCGTGGCGTAGGTGGTCCCGGTCCTCGGGGGGCTGGAGTCTGCCGCTGCTCTGTTCGCGGGGCATGGGGTGGGCGTGATGGTGGGCGTGGCTACCGTACTCTGGTGAGATGGCGCTGTTGCCCCCCCCCCCCCCCCCGGGGTTTGCCATCGGGGGTGGGTTTTCCTCGCTTGGCAACGACGTTGTAAAACAACCCCTCCCCCTCGGTGTTTGCCATCGGGATTGGGTTTTCGTCGCTTCGCAATGATGTTGTAAAACAAGCCAATTCACTTCGTGAACTCGGCAAGCAGGTTACCGGTTTTTTTTTTACCTCTGTTTTTTTTTGGGCGTTAGCGATAATGGTGGTCGAGTAGATCATGTTGTGCGGGGTCGAGAACCCTCACTCCGCGCAACGGGGGATGATCGCACCACGTTGTGTTAAAATGGCAAAGCATCCTCGAGGCAGTTACAGTGCTTATTACTGCCTCTGGAAGTGAAAGCACCAGAAAATAAATTAAGTCATTCGCAGCTGTCATCCGTACGCAAGGAAGTAAGCACAAGATGCCGAACACCCTTAGCAGGATGCAGCGCACCCTTCATGCGACTCGCCGAATACCTCACGGTGCTTCGCGCTTGGAGATGTGAGAGCCTGGTCCGGTGAGAACCCGGCGTGCTCCGTCCCGGCTTTGTAGGGATGCGAGGTCAATGGTCTAACGATTACGGCATGCACGACTATGAGTCCCCCCCCCCCCCCCCCCTCGACACGCTTGGGCAAGGTGAAGGTGGATCGTAAATAATGGTGGTGTGATGATGCTGCTGCTACTGCTGTTTGTGGAGAGAATGGTGGTGCGGTGAAGTGGACAACGACAACGTTCTAGGAAGACAAGTGCTCCCGAGTTTGATGCTCAGCTTCTTGTCTCTAACTACAGTAGGTCTTTTTTTTGCGGTCAGATGCGCGCATTCGTGCATCACACGCCCTCTGCGAAACATACCTTTGCTCGTAAAAACATTTATGCGGCACAACCTCCGCTTACGTCATGCCCATGAGCACCCTGAATACATGAACTATTCCTCGTGCTTCTCATACCCTGGTATATTCTTGTTTTGGCGACCATGTACGACAACTCGCACCCCTCACACGTCACACAAGGTCGACGGTGCTGAAGACGCCCATCTCGGAGTCCTCGGGCGCCATCAAGAGCGCCGCCGGCGTGGCGGGGTCGGTCCTGACGTTCCTCACCGTCACCATGCTCGGCGTGAGGACCTACACGGCCGGCCCGGACACCCGCTACATTGACTCCTTCCCCACCGGCATGTGAGGGGCAACAGCAATGTTATGGCTTGTCAACCTTACATTCTCGCCCTAGACACCGTCTACGGGGTGTATTTGAGAGAAAATGTTGCCTATTTTTTTATGTTGTTGTGTATCTTGGCACCCTTACATTCCCCTCCTACAGACACGCACGTATTTTCAAGGTATGCATGGAACTTCGTTCGTCTTTGGTTTGCTCGCAACTTTTTGCGAGTCAGCCCCACGGCATGAACCCCGGACTTCCTGCCTCTAACACCCTCTGATAGTTTAGTGTTACATCGTCACGACGTCATGTCGGCAGTCTGCACTGAAAATCGAACGCCATTCCAGTCGGTTGGTGTGCGTGTGAGATGCTTCGCTTGAACGCGACAAGGAAGAAAACCCTTGAGTGAGAATCTTGTGGCTCTGGATATCGTGCTGAGGCCCGTTCACGATGTCATGGAAGGCTCCACAGACGGGCCGGGAGGAGGAGGCCTAGGGAGGGAAAGGGAGTGCAGTTTTGTTCGGATTCCCCCGCGTTGTTCGTTCTCGTCTTCGCTAGCTCTAACGGTGGTGATGGTGGTGATAGTGCTACCGTTGCTGTTCCGTGGGTAACCCCCACGTTCTACTCAGTCTTCGTGTTTCCCTGTTTTCAATGTTGTAGCAGCAGCAGCAGCAGCAGCAGCAGCAACAACAGCTCTAAAGTGTTCACTGCATCGTCTGCACTTACGCTTCTGCAACAGCACAGCAGTTTCATCAACGTTTTTCCGTCTCGTTCTGTTGTGCCTGTTGGGATGGATGTAACGGGGGCGGTCACGGTTGCGTCAGTGCCCACCCGGAAGGTTGCACCAGGGTTGCCGAGACCGGAGGCAACAAGGGCATCGCCGTGCCTACGTTCAAGGCCAGCGTGGATGAAGTTCAGGCGAGCAAGCTCTACTACGGGGGCGGTTGAGGTTTAGAGTGTCGAGTCTTGGCTACATTTGGTGGTGGCCTGTGCCACGTGCCCGTGTCGGGGTGTCTTGTCGTTCAAGGAGGAAGAAGACGGAAGTATGTATATCGTACCGGCGAGGGTGGTGTAAACAACGAGCGATTTCGCTGATTCCGGGCGCTCGAACAGACTTTGGACAAATGGAAAGCCGAACTTCATGCGCACACGTCACGAAAGTCAAGCGTTGCACACGGGAGGTACTAACTGCTGCTGCTTCTCCGTTAGCCTCCCCCCCCCCCCCCCCCATTTCCCCCCCCGGGGTTTGCCCACGGGGGTGGGTTTTTCTCC